GGGAGTGGGGAGAGCCTTGAAGTTTTCTGAGCCAGAAAATGACAAAGGCAGACAGCTCTGACCTGGAGGTGGTATGGATGGAAGCATGTGAATAAAAGGATTGTTACAGTCCTAACATGAATGGAAATGGCTAAATTATGGCATATATACTCAAGGAAATACTTTATAAACAATATAATTAAAAAGTAACAGACTAGAGCAACATTGAAAAATGCTGGAGTTTTTTTCCGTATTACGAAAAGATAAGCTTATGGACAAAGACAAATACAAAAGGAGTTGCATTCATGTTTTGGGATCTATATGTATTCCCCCCCACCCCAAACAAATCCAATTTGGCAATGGCAATTATTGTCCTTAGATTAAAAAACTAAAAAAATAGAAAAATACATGCCTCATCACATTGTCCATTTTGGACCCCATTATAAGCTATGAGATAAGCAAAGCAGACACTTTTATCACCATTTAGATGAGGAAACAACTCTGAAAGATGATTTGCCCGATTATTCACCTAGAGAGAGACAACTGAAACTGGGGTCCTTGGCCAGGTAATGTGTTGGCAATAGAATGAAGAAAGTTCTTCATCCCTGCTTTTAGACAATTTAATCCTATTTCATTGGTGTAACCCTTGCTTCATATCCTCAATTAGGGAGAGTGAGAAGATAAAGTCACATAAAGGTAAATTTAAAATGGAACTGAGACTGATAAACACATTTTGTCATTACGCGCTCTGTATGGATGGTAATAGATGCATTCAAGAAATGACCCAAATGAGCATCTGTTGTTTGGAATGCCATTAGCCTGCATAGCTTTCAGTAAAGTAAAAATCAAAGGAAAATGTTCATGGACTTCTTAAATTCATTCCCCCAAAGAACTGCCCATATGTAAGAATATTGAGGAACTATGGATTACTATTCAAGCTGGACACCAACTTGTGAATCTTCTATCCTCACTCTGTCCCTAGAAAATGGGACCTTTTTTTTTTTCACTATTTTTTCTGATAGCCTGTTTTCCTCTGTACTTTTGCCCCTACTGTGTCACCTACCTGAAAAGGCTCTTTTCTCATCTGCACTCGTTAAAATTGGAGTCATTCTTCAAGATGCACTTCAAATACATCTTTCAACTTTTATTCTGCTTCTTGCCCTTTACAACCTCTAGGCACATAGTCTTTTATACGTGTAAACTATCTTGTTTTAAAGTTCTCTGTGTAGCTCCCTTATTCTTCCTATGAAATGTTTATATTCATCCAAGAGGAAAGGATCTAACATTTACAAAGCAGTTACTAGGTTGGAAGATGCCAAGAATTCACTGACTAATACCAGCTAAGATGGCTCAAGTTATTTATAGGTCTAAGTATCCCTCTAAGTGCTTTACCTGCATTGCCTCATTTAATTTCCACAACAGCCCTGTAGCGCATACTACTATTGTTGTCCCCATTTTGCAGATGGGAGAAACAGGTCTAGAAATTTGAATTAATTTAGCCAAGGACACAGACACAGCATGTGTTGGAGCTTTAGTTCAAATCCTGATATCCTGCCTCTGGAGGCCCTGGGACTTGCCCTCTTCAAAGAGGGGCTTTCCGGGGCGCCTGGGTGGCTCAGTTGGTTAAGCGACTGCCTTCGGCTCAGGTCATGATCCTGGAGTCCCGGGATTGAGTCCCACATCGGACTCCCTGCTCAGCAGGGAGTCTGCTTCTCCCCCTGATCCTCCCCCCTCTCATGCTCTCTCTCTCTGTCTCATTCTCTCTCTCAAATAAATAAAATCTTTAAAAAAAAAAAAAGAGCTGTTTTCCATTAAAGAGGCAGGTCTGTCTCCTGGTGTCTATGCCCCAGTCCCTGAGAGCCTGGGATTCTTTACTCTTCTGCCAACTGGGCACTGAGCTCCCTCACTTCCTTCCCTAATTGCTCCAGTGCTTGTCCTCTCCTCCAGCCTCTGTCCTTTTAGACATTCATCCTGCTCTTAATCAGGAGACCCCTGGAAAGCCCCACTAACCAAATTCCAACTGTTAGGGGAGGAGGCTTGGAGTCCCCAGGCCCAGGCCCAATGCTACTCTTCAGATCTTCCCTCAAACTGAGAATAAGATATTAAGTACTTGTACTGGCTGCTACTTTCACTAGCAGATTTCTGTTACATCCCCACTATCAGCTATTTTAAAAGCCACTAAAACTAGGGTCTTTAGCCCAGGATCTAAGGACTCTGATATTTTATTTAAAAGCATGTTTCTAGGGAGGGGTACCTGGCAGTCACATGAGACTTGAGTCTTGATCTTGGGATTGTGAGTTTAAGCTCCACGTTTGGGCAGAGACTGATTTAAAAAAAAAAAAAAAAAAAAAGCATGTTTCTAGGGAAAGGACCCATAACCTTCCTTAGGTTCTCAAATGAATTCAGAGTTCCTTTAAGACCTTTGTAGACCTTGGGGTGCCTGGGTGGCTCAGTCATTAAGTATCTGCCTTGGGCTCAGGTCATGATCCCAGGGTCCTGGGATGGAGCCCCACATCGGGCTCCCTGCTCAGCGGAGAGCCTGCTTCTTCCTCTCCCTCTGCCTGCCACTCCCCCTGCTTGTGCTCTCTCTCTCTCCCTCTCTCTCTCTCTCTGTGTCAAATAAATTAATAAAATCTTTAAAAAAAAAAAGACCTTTATAGACCTTCCTTAAAGCATTTTTTTCAGTTTCACTCCTCATATAAAACACTGAAACATACTGAAAGTCCATATTAAATATAAGTTTTTATATAACTATGAAATATTTCATTTGACTCATTGACATAAAGGTGTATTTTATAGACATGTGATTAAGTATTTATTAATTTTGACTTTTCAAGTTTCCTTTTTTATATTTTAAATGTTATAAAAAATAACATTTTTTTAAAGATCTCAAATATTTTCATAGGCCTTTGGTAAGCTGCTTCTTAGGTGGTAACACCATCTGCTCCATCATTTCCTTCTGCCCTTGGTTGCTTAATCCCCTTCCTGCTCTTCAGCCTTCCTCTTTCTCCCACAGCCTTGAGAATCCCTCCATCTGCTCAAACTAAGGATGAGCCTAAGGAATTCTCTTTGTCTTTGATCCTCCAGCTTTTTTCCTGATCCTGGGAAATCAGGGCCTGTCCCTTGAAGGTGACGGGGAACCCAGAATGGAATATCTTAAACTCCGGTCGTGGAGGGGACAGACACTCACAATGAGCCTTTCTCTCCTTGCCTTCCCTCCATACTGGGTGTGCAGAAATCATGAAATTGGGGGATGACAGAAGTTTGGGATATGCTGAGCTATGCCACACATTTTTGAGGAATAATTTCCAAAACCAGATCTGATTGTTGCTATGGGCTAATGGGCATTTCCAGAAGCTGAGAGATGAAATAAAAAAGGATACTGATTCAAAAAATAACACAGCTCCCCTCCCAACTTTCAAAATAGAATAAAGAAATTACAGAAAATTAAATGCTTTTTATTTATTTATTT